TAGTACACACAAGAGAGGGACACTTTCACCACGAGATACATTTTAGTAAACATTACATTTCAAAACTATAGAAGAATGAGGATGTGGCCTAAATACATTATTTTCTGGTGATTTATCCTTAGAAGAGACATGTGAATTGGGTAAAAAAGTAATTGTTGTCACTAATTAAATAGTTGCCACAGGTGCCCAAATTTAAAGACTGTAATGTAATAAAATGTACCTGTAAGGTAATAAAACAACTGCAGTACATTTTTCTAAAATGTTATTTTCTATTTTCTTATTACATCATGATTAAAAAAAAATACTGTGATACTTTGAACAGTCAGGAAAATAAGTAAATAAATATATTCACTGTAAAAAATCTGTCAATTAACAGTTTCCGTATTTTGGGATTTACAAGTGTTTCCCATTTACAGTATTTACTGTTATGAGTTGTATTATGGGACCTTGATCTCTGCTCTGTCATGTTTTGATGTTGAAAATTCAACTCTACAGTTTAACAAAGTGACTTTTATTGACATTTTAGTAGTTTGAAATAAAAAGTATAATGTATAAGAAATAATATATAGAAAATTAAGTCTATAAAATAACAGAAAATGTGCTGACCGTTTATTACAAGGTTTTTGTAATGTAATATACAACACTAACCCAGACATTATCACTCTAAGCTATAGAAAATGTAAATAAAAGTGTTTTTTTTTTTTTTCAAACTTTTCAGGTTTAAATGTTGTTGGAAAAAAGAATAAAGTCCCATAATAAAATTAAAAAGCATAAATAAACTGGGAAAAAATTATATGAATGAATAAATACATGAATCACAAAATACAGAACTATAGATATTATATACACACATATATACACTACTGGTCAAAAGTATTGGGTCAATTTTTTTTTTTTTTTTAAAGAAAATTATTCTGTTAATCAAGGCAGCATTTATAAAATGTAAAAATTATTAAATTGGTTAATTTTTATAAAATTTTTAAATAACTGCTTTCTTATGAAGTTTCTAATAAAAATATTAATTATTGCTTTTATTACTATGATTATTATTATTAATTAATAATAATTAATATTAAAGTGAATTTGTGAAGGATCATGTGACTGTAAACGGGAGTAATGAAGCTAAAAAATCATCTTTATGATTTAATTTAATAATTTATTTTAATGATTTTAAGCTAGTTTTGAACAGTTATTTTATAATAATTCACAATTTTACAATTTGTACTGTATTTATGATTAAATAAATGCAGCTTTGGTATAAGCTTATTTTGAAACATTTAAACATTCTACTGAACCCAAACTTTTTACCAGAACTATGTGTTTGTGTGTGTACACACACACACAGACAGACAGACAGACAGACAGACACACACACACACAAACACACACACACACACACACACACACACACACACACACACACACACACACACACACACACACACAGACACAGACACAGACACAGACACAATGATTTTAGTAGAATAAAATGTTAAGGTAGAATAAAAGTAAAGCGAAAAACAAAATCTCCACAAAATCTCAACATTTATAAGTGAATAAAATTATGATTTGGGGATCAGTGTCTTGCTATAAAAGCAAAAGTTAGTCACTGGAGACCATGAATAATAGTTCCACAAAGGTCTATCTTTAGAATATTTTTCCATAGTATTTAATGAAAACCCAACTTCTAAACTGTGTCCCACATTATGAGGAGGAATCTTCCAATGGTCTTTTTTAACATTCAGTGAAAGGGTTTATAATTCTGCTATATTAACTTAGTATTCTTTTTCTTTTAATCCACATTTTATATTTAATGTTCATTCTTCAATAATAGCGTTGATTGTGTCAGTCTGTTGTAAATGTGATTACCATGAGTGTGATTCTTCATAAAGCTGGTCATTGTCCAGCGTGAGTCATAATGACACGTAGTGCTGCCCACAGATCAGTATAGGACACTCCTAGCTGAACTTTATGTTCCTCACACTCATCAATCCACAACTGGTTGAATCTGGAATCCATTAGATTGCTACAAAATGCAATAATAAAACTGGAAAAAATGAACCAGCAAGGCAATACAAAATGTTATTGAATTGTTTGTTTTAAACTTATTGCACTATAATAGTATTTTTGCTTTCATAAAATGGTTGTTCCATAAACTTAGCAAGGTTTCACAATATAAAACAAGCAAATGAAACTGTTTCTGTACTGAGAGCAGAAGTGTTGCCAAGCAGCCACAGGTGTATTTTTGTATAGGCTAGTAGTTTACAACAGTTCGAACACGGCTCAACCAATATAAATCAAGGATTAGTACAGTAAATGGAATCTGTTTTCTAAATAGGACACATGCTCATAGTGATACTATGATTTTTTAAAGTCTGTTTTCAGTTTTCGTTAATGTGCTTTGAAGACCACCTATTATGAAAATCAACGTTTTGAAGCTGTTTGAACAGAACTGTGTGTAGATAGTGTGTCCACAGCCATATTGGGGTGATATAGTGACAATAAGCCTCTTTTTTAATTTCCTGACACTAAAATATGATCCAAATCCCTCCTATTTTGGGGCTCACTGCAACGTGAAGTAGGAGTGCGTTTCTCTGCCCACCGATTTGATTGACAGCCGCATATTAACATATCTCTGTATTAACGCGTGTAATCATATGCACAAGACAGGACGTGCTCAAAGCAACTATTAAAAGATCTAAAACAGTAAAACAGTACATGTTTGTAATGAATTACAGCGATTTTACCATCTTTATCACCACAGCAGCATGTCAGTAAAATTATAAAAGAAGCAGCTTCAATCCTGAACCCTTTGTGGAGGTTAAATCAGGTTTATTTTGTACATAATGGATATCTAAACAGCAGTGGATATTAATGTGTATCCTGTCACATTTGCCATGCAAAAAAACATGTGTGCTGTGTGTGTGTGTGTGTGCTTGAACATTGTGTGTGACTCATCATTGCAGAAGGGCTTGAATTAACTCCATAACAAATACATCAAATAATCATTGGGAAAGTAAGTTCTTACTGTAGTATTTCTCACAAACATTATGGAGATCTGTTTCCTTCATGTTTGTCACTGTGCTGTTTATCTGACGCAGCGGAGCCGGAGATTGAGGTTACACTGTGTTCAGAGCAGAAAATCCCAATATTCTGAAAGGTATAATAAATAATCTGATGGGTGTTTTAAGCTGAAACTTTACAGACATATTCTGGGACCACAAAAGACTTCTTTTTAAATTATGAAAAAGAGGTAAAATAGATGTCTTTTAAAGTCCTTTATTGTGATTGGTCCAACAGTATTTTGAGTGATACTAAATGTGTAAACAGTTGGATTTAATTTAGAGCAATGTGTTTGATCCTTCGTGATAGTAATAATAGTACATCTAAAAACTTCAGCGAGTCAGTCAACAATAGTTCTTAAATACAGTTATGCTAAAGTAACTTTGTTTTAGTGTCAAAAAGCACAATGAAATCTAAAAATAGATTAAAACATAAGACTTGAATAACCTGTCTTATGTGTATAGTTAAGGTATCTTAAAATATATGTTAGCGATGCATAGGTTTTTTTAAAGCTCTTATGTCCAGTCTTGTGTTTGTATTTATGATTAATTTTTGTAGCATCGTTGCCCTGCGAGACACAACACTTCGATCCTCTGAAAGTCCACACATGTAACGGAATGACAATAAAGCTTGACTTGACTTGCCTAAAAATTTCATTTCGATGAAAAGAGTTTGTCTAAAATAATAAAGAAATATTATACCCACCCTTCACTTGTAGTTTCTTTCTCCTGATAATTTTGCAAGATATTTTGAGAAAAGTTGGGAACTGGTAGCTACTGACCTCCATAGCATTTTTACATTTACAAACATTTACTCTGGAAGTCAGTGGCTATACACCAGTTAAAACATTTAACAATTGTGTCTTTTATGTTTAGCAGAAATTCTAGCTAAAAGATTTTGAACCACATGAGAAAAAGTAAAATGTGAGTGGATTTAAATTTTTGCGTGAACTATCCATTTAAGAGCATGAAAACTGGATTAAACCAGAAGAACAGTAATTGACTGCCACTGAAGAATTACAGCAACGGTCAACTGTATCCATCAGAAAACACCCTTATCTCAGTGAGCAGACACAGTTTGTTCCATGACATCTGCTGATGGACTCCGGCTAATTTAACAAGAAAGACTGGCTGAAAAGATTTCCAGCATCAATATGTTTACTCACCATAAAACATTACAAGCTATCAGTTCTACAAGACTATTGTTAATTTTTAACCTGGATCTAAGTCTTTGGTATTTTAGAGTCAATATATAAATATTTTAAATCTAAAAGTTAAAACAGAAGACACTTGTATTTTAACATCTATTTATGTCTGAAAGGGGTGGAAACATTAGCAAAATTTCATCTACATTTGTGCTATTTAAGAGACTTGAATACCATTTGGAAAAGTTTCACTTGGAGGCAACATTCGCATGCATGGATTCCTATTGAATTGACGTATTCGTTGAGCAATGCACTTTAAATTTGCATTTTCAGCCATCATAAGTCATTTAAATAGTTTAAAACATGTTGTTCTAATGTGTCAAATAAAAATATTCAGAAAAAATTCCTAAGCATTTTTCATTAGGATATATCCATATTTCGCATGCTGTAAATATATTTTGTGAAATAATTTTCTTTCATCACTAGTAGTTGATAACAAGTTAACAATTAATTATGCACAATTTATTTGTTAACACACTGCTTGTTAAAACCACAACTACATTATTTAAAATTTGTACCTGACTAAGAAAAAAAAACTAACATACTAATATGTAAAATATAACCGTTTACTATTAATATTTTACCAGATGCATCAATAGGCTATATTTGCATTGATTAATTAAATCAGGGAACTAAATGGCTACTGTAGATTTGCAAGCCTATTTAAAACTTTATATTTGGAAATGCAACAATGATTTTAAGAGATAGAGAGTGAAACACATTTACACAGAAATGAATCGTATAAAAACAGTTTTATTCAAAATATGTTTTCTCTCATCAAGTAAAATGTTTAACAACGCAATGCAGACACTGTGGATGACACACACTGAACATCTTTACATTTCAGCGGCGACATCAGTCCGTATTTCAAATGCATTTCTTTATCTTCATGATGTCAAGAAAGCATCAGGACTCAAGTCTGCAAGCTCAAGCACTGGTCCAGTTCAGTGTTCACAGCACACCAACATGACCATCAACAGTTCATCACGAAGCCTCGAGGAACATCAGTCTCCAGCATAAGTAGCGTGTGCCAATGCTTCACGTTTTTTTCCCTTAGCGTGTGCAAACAACTGCACAGCATCCAACTTTCCTCATCGAAACTTCAGCGACTGGCGGGTCAGTCCCGTAATCAGCATGAATTTGTCCTTCTTGTCCTGCTGAAGAGCCATGAGCGCTTTGGAGATCTCCTCAGGGTCCTGGTACAGTGTGAGGATGCTCCTGGCTCTCTCCACCGCCTTCAGGTCTCCCGCTTTCTCGAAAAGCTTCACCAGCACCTCCTGGTTGACGTTCTCGAAAATGTTTGGCGACGCTTTCTTGCGGTGCGCCGTGTCGAATTTGATGCCGCTCACGGCGGGACCGACACGACGCGAGTCTGAAGACACGTAGAAAGACATGGCGTTAGAAAACAGAGAAGTCGTTTCGAGATGTCTTGTGTCTGATAGTAGAGGCTGAGCTCTTACTGAACCAGCATGGGTGATAGCAGCCGGTTTTATAGAGGACTGACTGACTGAGGAAGAGAATTCCCTTCAGATGTGACGTCACAGGAACGGTTAGTAAACGCCCAGGGTGAACCGCTGAGGGAAACTGTTCTGACGCAAGCATGAACTTAGCCAAGATTTCATTAATATATAACTACTAGCTTACTATACCTCAGGTAAACTTCGTCTAGTAAATTTCTTTATGACAGTGATTGTTGTAGTCTAAGCATTGGGATGTATTAAAGACAGTGGCATCATTTAGTTAGCCACAATTAACCATGAGTTTTTAGGCTAGCTTTATAGGCTAGTTTAGGCGTGGTGGTTTATTTATATTCAGTTTTACTACACCTACCAAGGTTAAAGTATGATGATGTAACAAAAAACATGGTTAATAGACAGAAAAATGCTCGGTTTCACATGCTCGGATTTGTGTTAAGACAATATGAAGCAAAACTAAATTATTATTTTTAACAAATGTAAAGAGATTGAACAAAAACAATTAGGACAACAATTAACAATTAAGTTGTGTTGTTTGAACAAACAGCAAATGTAATTTTTGAGTGTAGGCAACATGGTTTAATAACCAACCAGGTTATGAAGAACCTTAAACACTCATGGAACACCAACAATTCTGGGTTGTATTAAACCAATAATGGGTCAAATATGGTCAAAAACAACATTGGGGTATTTTTTAGATTCAATTGAAATAACTTTTACTATTTGACCCAGCATTCTAGTAATACAACCCAGCATATTTCAGAGTGAATCTGTTCATTCCAGAAAAACTTCTTTTATGGCAACACCATCAAACCCCCCTTTGGTTATTCCTGCCACTGTTACTGAGTTCTCTTGCTTTACAGAAGCATTTCAAATCAGTTTCTCCAGTGTATTTTGTCATACTTTCTGTTTTATTGATGATGAGGGAGGACACAGAGGGTGAGACCACTAGCTTGCTTAGTTCAGATGATTTCATCCGTACAAGTTTAATGTTTAAATGTTTTATGTCACCTGGGAAGCACCTGCATGACGCTCACCTTAAACTTTTTGGAAATGACCAGAATTATTTACAATGTCAGCAGAAAACTTTAAATATTTTAGCACTTTCCTTCCTCCTCGAGGACATTACGTAGTAAACGGCCCGTTCTATTGGCAGAACGTTATTTCTCGGCGGCAATGAATGTGGGAAGGAAGAACACCATGCATCTATCATTTTATGAGATCATGTTCTGATAAAAGCACTGATTGTTCCTTCTGCATCGCATTTTTTTTTGTCACATGCATTATAGTGCATGTGCCATGAAAGCCTACCTGAAAATGACTTTTTCTTAAGCAGAAAAAAAAAACATCTATTAATCTGTTTTTTAATATACTTTTTTAAATGTAATTTGTTTGTGACAATTTACTTATGATAGATATATGAGAGATATGGCTTTTTCATTAGTTTGTTAAAATACAATTATCCTGTTTCAACTTTATTTTTAAAAAAGTTAAACATGAATTGTCTTGAAGTTTTTAATCAGTCAAATGCAAATTTCATTAAATGAATCACAGACTAATTTACAGTATTTTTAATTATTGCACTAAAAAGTTTTAGAATCAATTACATAAGGGCAATTATAAATAAAACCATTGTAAGCTGAGAAAATATTATTTGCTTTTCCTTCAATGCTAACGAAGGCCTACTAGGACATTCCAAGCACAGGATTGATCCTCCTTACATGGCAGAGTTCCTCACATCTCCAATCCATCCCTGCCATTTACTTAAAGAAACCATGTGCCTATCACCATATACAATTCATCTGCTCATGATCTTCTTTCATAGCTTTATCATGTTTGGTGTCATTTGACCGTTTAGGACTTCAGCGCTGTAGTGTTGAAATCAGCAGAGACATTGATGCATTTCAATATACAATCTATTTACTAATGTTGAGTCATGGCCTGGCAATGCAGTGGCGCAGTAGGTAGTGCTGTCGCCTCACAGCAAGAAGGTCGCTGGGTCGCACCTTGGCTCAGTTGGCGTTTCTGTGTGGAGTTTGCATGTTCTCTCTGCCTTCGTGTGGGTTTTCTCTGGGTGCTCCGGTTTCCCCTACTGTCTAAAGACATGCGGTACAGGTGAATTTGGTAGGCTAAATTGTCAGTAGTGTGTGTCTGTGTGTGTGTGTGTGGATAATTCCCAGAAATGGGTTGTGGCTGGAAGGGCATCTGCTATGTTAAAACGTGCTGGATAAGTTGGCGGTTCATTTCACTGCCTTTGTTCCACAGCATGTTACAATGTACAGTATGTTAGTTTGTTTCATTGTACTGTCTGAACATACAACTTTACAGAAATCAAGTCGTGCTGTGATAAGTTAAAACAACACATTTAAAAATTTTTTTTTAAGTATTTTTGGGATGACTTATTTGTTTTGTTTAACCTACTTACATTTTAAGAAACGTTAAGTTAACCTAATCGATTTGTGTTGAGACAATGAAGGAATGATGGAACTATTTTCCCCTCTCAAATCGAAACTTTGTTTACGGTTTAAAAGTAGTCTTCAAATTCATAGCGCTACACTTTTTCCACATTTTTTATGTTACAGCCTTATTCCAAAATGGATTTATTTATTTATTTCCTCCAAATTATACACACAATAGCCCATAATGACAATGTGAAAAAAAAAATTGTTGCAAATTTATTAAAAAAAAAAAAACCTGAAAAATCACATGTACATAAGTGTTCACAGCCTTTGGCTGAAGCTCTAAATTGAGCTCAGGTACTGTACATTCTGTTTCCACTGATCATGCACTGATCAGATGTTTTAGCAGCTTAATTGGAGTTCATCTGTGGTAAATTCAGTTGCTTGTGGTTTGAAAAGGTATACACCTGTCTATATAATGTCCCAGGATTGACAGTGCATGTCAAAGCACAAACCAAGGCATTAGTCAGGAAGGTGATCTGAGATTAATCTAGATTATATATATATATATATATATATATATATATATATATATATATATATATATATATATATATATATATATATATATATATATATATATATATATATATATATAGTATAAATAAAGAACAAAAAATATTCTTGATAGGCTTCTCATTTTTTATTTGCATATTAACAACAAAGTGACTTATAGTTCAGGATTATTCTGGATATATGTAGTTACTGCTGGATAAAATTAGCCTATTCCTTCTAAAAAGCACTTAAAAGACAGATTGTACTTTTGCCAGTAAATGTAATCAATGTCCGTAATCAGTGCTTATATTTAGTTCCCAAAAGCCATCCCAGTCTGTTCTCTACGACGATGAGAACAGGAAGAGTTGATTATAAATAAAGATACCAATGACAAATGTGTGCTCTTATGCTGATGCGCAACATTTCTGAAGAATTACATCTATTTTTGATATAGTGAAGCGATGGTCAAGGGGGAACAGCTGGTGGGAACATTGCCTGGAAGACCCAGTTTTTTTTTAAAGAGCTTACTTTGTGGGTTCCAAGTGACTCTAGTGTAACATCTAGCACTGGAATGCTTTGAGAACTTCAATAGTTTTATATCGAAAGGCATTAAACAGACCATACTGCTCCTTCAAATGGAAGGAAGGGAGACGCCACATTGACTTCCCATTTGCGCATACAGTACTGACTGTATTGGTAATTATGACTTGGTTGTTCACTGCTTGGAGTCTAATGTGGCCGACAGCCATCAACATTAGGGCAGTGTTATGGAGTCATGACAACAGTAACCAACAGTGACTCTTCTGTCCTGACCAAATGTCTATTTCCTTTACATGCACTATACAAAACATTTTTCCATGTCCACGCAACACTACTAGCTCCTCTGTAATTTCATGCCAATTACTTTTTTTATGATTTAAGAATTTTTTTTTCTACAACTTTTAGATGTTATTCAAATCTATAGCTTAGACCTTTAACCACACTTTTTATACTATTCTGTCTTTTTAAAAATGCTCTGTGTAATGTGTTAGATCAACTGGGACTAGTTGTCTGATTTGCCAGTCGAGTCTTTACTGCAGCTGACATCAGATCTACTTTTATCTGGGGTTTAATTCTTTCATACAATTTGTTGCTCTGTATTTAAAGATGAATATTATTTAATAAACCTTTTTTATTTTATATTTTTAGGACAGTTTTTTTGCATGCAGCTCCAGTGATATTACAGTGATGCTTTTGCTAATTCACATAAACCCTTAGAAGAATCTACACCAGTGTTCAATACTGTAGGTGAGTTCTCACTGAATATTTTAGCGTTAAGCCATGTTATGTTATTACACCATATATACTAGCACTATTAAAACTTTAAATAAATGAAGTGTGAAATGTAGCTTCATATAGGCCATAGTAGATGTCAAAAGGTTTCTGTTACAGCAGGAGTCTTAAATCATATTTTTGAAACAATGAAATTAAGCATTCAAGTTGACTGACGTTTTGTTTTGTGTTTTTATTTTCACTGTTTTCTTGTATTTTGTTTTGTCTTTCATTTACATTTTCGTTGTGTTGTTTTGTTTTGTCTTTTGTTTTCTTTTTCATTTAGTTTTGCCTTTCATTTTCATTCTGTTGTTTTGTTTTGATTTTTGTTTTGTCTTTTGTTTTCATTCTGTTGTGTTTTGATTTTCGTTGTGTTGTGTTTTGTTTTGTCTTTCGTTTTCATTTTTGTTGTTTTCTTTTGTTTTGTCTTTCTTTTTCGTTTTGTTGTTTTCTTGTGTTTTTTGTTTTGTCTTTTATTAAAAAAATTTTTGTTGTGTTTGTTTTTTGTTTTTTTCATTTTCAATTCGTTTTTTGTTTTGGTTTTGTTTATTGTTGTTTAGTGTTTTTTTAACATTTTTAATATTTTACTTTTAGTATACTGTATGACTGTGCTACGTCTGACAGATCACACTACTGTCTTTTCTTTTTCATTCTTTTATAACCCGTTTAAACACATTTTAACTATCAACAATTTTAACAATCGTTTTTAATTCTTTTAATAAAAATGTATTTTCTTGTTTCTTTTATTCTTGCTTATGTAAAGCATTTTAAGTGAAATTTATTCATAAACTAATTTCGAGAGGATCACGTGATTATGAATGAACACAGCTGGTCTGCATTAGCATGTATAATCCA